CCCCCCCCCCCCCCCCCCCCCCCCCCCCCCCGTTTTGCTGCCAGGAGAAGCTAGTTACCAAAACAAAACAACTGGGAGGAGGGGCGGTAGGAGAAAAAAGTTGTGCTTTCTGGTTTGTCCCCTCTGGTATTGATCCTGTAGATGTCGGGGAGGTGCCCCAGCTGCGGGTCAGGGGCCGCGTTGTGGGCTAGGCGGGTGGCCCCCTCGGGCTAGCTGAGCTGGGAAAGCCCCGCTGTGTCGCAGTCCCCACCCGCAGCTTTGCTTTCCCGCCGCAGTCCCTTCCCGGAGCACGCGGTGCCGGCTGCTCCAAAGTGTTCTCTTTCTGCCTTAAAACAAAATCCGGAGGAAGCTTTTTTTCCTCCCTACCGCGCCACACCGGGTCTTCGGGCCGAGCGGGCGGTGTTAGGTCAAGATGAATGGGCTAAAGCTGGATTTAGAGTGTCATCCCCGACCCCACCCCTGTAGCGATTAGGATCTGCTCTCGTACTGAAACCCCCCCCCCCTTTTCTTGCATTTACAGGCTAGTGAACCGGAGCAAACGACTTCCGATCCACTCCGCGTTGCAGCGGCACCCTTTTGGGATTTGATTAGCCGCATCTTTGAGCTGGTACCACAAAAATCCCGGCGAAGAACGCCTAGCCCACCCCTGGCACCCCGAGACAAACCCACTCCCTCCTAGGGACACAGCTGGGCGCGCCCACACCCCCGCATCCCCTACACCATGTTGTGCGGAAGGACTTCCACTCCCCGCCTGTGTCGTTGATGTCAGACCCCAGGCCAGCCTCCGGGCGCTGCAGTTCTCCTGGCTAATGCTGCGGCTGTGGCTTGGGCTTTAGTACATAAGCCAGCCGCCGCCGCCCCCCGCCCCCCTCCCCGGCCTCAGCGCCCACAGTCTGCATGTGTGTGCGGTAGCCGGCTGCGTGTTCCCCCGGAGCTCTGGAGACCACCGCGGGGCTTTTCTCTGCCCGTGGGAGAAGTGGCCTTGGAGGAATTGATTTCCGTGGTTGGATTTTCCTCGTGGATCTATCAATTCACAATTCGAATTTGGAAGAAAGAAGGAAAACATGACGTCTCCAGCCAAATTCAAAAAGGATAAGGAGATCATCGCAGAGTACGATACTCAGGTCAAAGGTAAGAATTTTGACAATTGGCATAATGCATATCTTCTGCCGACGTGCGTTTCCACCCCAATTTTCAGGGCGTTAATTTCTTGGGTGGAGCAGGTGGCAAGTTGACCCCAGAGGTGGTTTCATAGATGGATCAGAGCCTTGGAATGATCAACAGTGTCAGGGGCTACAGGCACTGGAAGTGGGCTTTAGGAGTATCTGTGGGGCTGGCCATTATTTTGGCAGCTCTTTCCCAAAGGCTGGTTAAGGTGGGGGAGGGGCAGGAGGGTCTCCGGAGAGAGGTGGGGGAAAAAAAGCTGCAATTCGCCTTTGGGCGTCTTGAGTCAAGCTTCCTTGAAGGACAGCTGAAATCTGACAGGTGTTTGGACATTTATTTCAAAGGTTGAAGAGAAGTCCAGGCAGAAAGGCAACCTTGAGAGGGGTATACAATTTGGAGAAACCTGGGAGAGGCGGGGTTTTTCTGGTGTACTGTGTTAAAGCTTGAGATATCCATGACACTGGATTCAGGAAGTCCTTAGCCATATTGGGTGCACCTTGTACTTGGCTGGCCCATGGTCACCCTGCATACAATCAAAGATCACAGACCAGAAAGAATAAGACCATCCGAACTGATTTCCACCCCCATCTAAATCTTAATGGAGTTGAACTATTAAGGTTTCAGAGTGGTGCTGAAACTGGGAAATAGGTGTTGTCACCCTCTGCTCCAGAATACATGCCTTTAAAGGTCCATTTCCCTTTCAGCCAAAAATGTGAAGGGATACAGCAGAATGTAGACCTGGGGAAGCCAAGTGTCTCTTCATCTCGTCCACACCTTAAATTGGCTTCTCAAACCGAAGCCCATACCCAAATAGCTGTTCCTCATCCAGCATTTCCCCTAAGAGGTGTCATGCCTGAGAAGGAGCCCTAGCCTGTGTTTGTGCAAGGCACTGCCCCTTCCTGACCAGTCACTGGGAAGAGCCCTGTGGCTTCAGCCCATTGAGACCTTAGCTGGGAAGTGGGATAGGTGGGTGGCCTTGAATGTTTCACCACACGGTTGGGTTTTTCCTTTGTTTCAGAGTACAGAGGGAGGGGCCCCTCCTTTCCCTGCACAAATGCTAGGAGACCTTTTCCTATCTTGAGGACTTGGGAAAAGCCACGTCTCTCCTCTAATGATTGCCTTGGATGTGGGTTAGAGGTAGAGTGTGAAAACAGGTAGTCCCTTTATCTCTTGAAAGGTTGAAAGGTAGTTTGAAGTCATCATTGTGTCATCAGGATTTAAAAAATATATTACTGGTTTGGTCAATGCAGGAGGTACCCTAAAGGACCTTCAATCTTCATGGTTGCAAATATTGGTCAGTTTTATTACCAGAATGGGTAGTTGAATGATGATAGCTTCAGTTGAATTGGAATTGAGAGAGGTGGGGTTTTGAGTTATAGCTGCGGTCTTGGCCTCTTGTCACTGTTCATAATCCCAGCCTGTTTTTGTACAGAATGGCTGCTGGCCTCTATGTCCTGTCCAGGTGCACCATATTCTGTTCTTGCAATGCCTCACTATAGTTTTGGCTACATATGACATTAAAAAAATGCATCCCGTTATTAACTCCCTGTGGCAACATAGGGAGTGTTAACAACTTTGACTTTTCCCAGGTGATTCTCTGTAAGCACACCGTTTTACTGAGGAGCAAAGTGATTTTTTTCATGACGGTGTTTTTGTTTTGTTTTGTTTTGTTGTTTTTTTTTTTTTTTTTTTTTTGTTTAGGGCTGACAGATATTAGAATTTGAGATTTTTAGTTTTTAATTGGTAATGGATTTCTCATGAGTATCTCAACAATTAAATACTTCGTGTATTTACAAATATTGCTCATTGAGGTGATGTAATGCAGTTAGCTATTTGGAGTTTCTCTTCAGCCCTGCCACAGACTAGAGACTGTTGTGTTTTGTGTCGATATTTTCCATTGGCTCTGTTCAGAGTGTAGGAATTTGTAGGTGGCTGACCCTGATTTCTCTCTCAAGGAGGTGCCCCATGAACGCTTTTGGAACTGATTTGCTTTATTCCTCAGATTACAACTGAGGAGAATGTAGAGAACTGTAGAGGTTTGTTCAAGGTCACACGACTAGGTGGTGGATCTGAAT